ATAGTATGCATATTCTTACCGCGACAAGAAATGTTAAAATCATCCACAAAAAGTGATCCATCAATTGAATCGTTTAAAACCTTGGATAAGCTGTTGATCTTAATGCTAAATAAAGTGACAGACAAAATACTTCCTTGGGGGACACCCTGATCCTGATTATAATGGTCAGACAGGGTTGAACCCACTCGGACTTGAAATTGCCTGTCTGTTAAAAACTGTGATATAAAAAGAGGCAAACGGCCTCTCAAACCAAAATCATGTAAATCCTTCAAAATGCCATGCTTCCAGGTTGTATCATAAGCTTTCTCAAGATCAAAGAAAATTGATACAGCATGTTGTACTATATGTATTACTATAGCATTTTTAACAAAGGATTCTAAACGTACCAAATGCTTAATGGTACTACGATTTTTCCTGAAACCACATTGAATATGTGTTATAAGGTTATTGGTTTCAAGATACCAAGTTAATCTATTATTCACCATACGTTCCATGGTTTTACAAACACAGCTAGTTAGAGAGATCGGCCTGTAATTCGACGGATCTGTATGATCCTTGCCAGGTTTTGGTATTGGGACTACAATGGCATTACGCCATGAAGGAGGAAATTCTCCAGACGTCCATATTTGGTCACATATATATAAAAGTGTCATCAGACATGGTTCAGGTAAGTGTTTCAGTAGCTGGTAATGTTTATTGTCATCACCTGCTGCAGTGTCATGAGCTTGCTCAAGAGCAGTATGTAGCTCATGTAATGAAAACACTTCATTATAATCTTCACCGTTATGTGATTCGAAATTAAGTTTTGTCTTTTCCTGTTGCTTCTGATATCTCTGAAACTCAGGGACATAATTTGCCGATGATGAATTTTTGGCAAGAGTTTCGCCAATTTTATCTGCAATTTTAGATTTGTCAGTTATGAAATTATCACCATCTTTAACATGGTGAACAGCAGATTTTGAACCTTTGCCTTTAATTCTTTGAACCATGTTCCATACTCTGGACATTGGCGTACGTGAATTAATTTTGGAGACATAATTTCTCCAAGATTGTCGTTTGTTTTGTTTAAAGGTACGACGCGCCTTTGCATTGAGTATTTTAAATCTATTTAAGTTATGGACAGTTGGATGATGGCGGAAATAACGCTCTGCCTTTTTCCTCGCTTTTCTGGCTTGTCTACAATCTGTATTAAACCATGGTTTTCGTACATGTGGAGTCGTGGATGACTTTGGTATACACTCATCAGCTATTTCATTTAAAACGTCAGCAAAAGTTTGAATGGGATCAGTTATATCACTGAAACATTCAGGTCGCAGTTTCGATTTACATATAGTTTGATATAAAGACCAGTTAGCCTTCGAAAAGTTCCATCTTGTATACGACGGGGATTCAGATGGAGTTATTTCTGAAAGGATAGTTGGGAAGTGGTCACTTCCACAAATGTCATTATGAACAGACCAATCAAATTCATTCAGGAGGTTAGAATCTGCAAGAGACAAATCCAGAGAAGAATAAGTGCCAGTTGCAGGATGCAAATAGGTGCTTGAATCATCATTAAATATGCACAGGTCATTATTGGAAATGAAATCTTCAATTATTTTGCCTTTAGTATTAGTGTTCGTACTGCCCCAGAGTGGGTTGTGGCCGTTTAGGTCACCCATAATAACACATGGCTTTGGGAGTTGATCATAGAGTGATTGAAGATCAGTCAGCTGAAGGTTCGATGAAGGCGGAATATACAGAGAGCATAACGTAAATGCTACACCCAGAGTAAGTCGCACTGCAACAGCTTGGAGATTAGTGTTAAGTGTAACAGGGCTGTGAATAACATCCTGTCGTATAAGGATAGTAGAACCTCCAGTGGCTCTATCACCTGGAGGGGGAAAATAATGATACAGTACAAACTGACGTAAGTTAAAATTATCTGTCTGTTTCAGATACGTTTCTTGCAGACAGAATGCTGATAGTGTTAAATCCTGGATTAATAGCTGTATTTCATTAAAATTTGGCCCTAGTCCTCGACAGTTCCACTGCACGATATGCTTAGATAGACCTATCTTTTAGGCGGATTAATGGGGGATCTACCCCGCACCGTTTTCGAGGGCAACAAGCTATGTGCCCTAGAATGGACGTTTTCGGACACGTCCATGTCCTCAAGTGATCCGTATTTGTTAAATAATTTGATTTTAACTTCTGACCCTTTTGGGGCTCTGCCACTTTGTTTTTTCCAAGAATCTGGCTTCGGTTTGCTTTTGCTTTTGACGATTTGCTGAACGTTTCTGGTACATTGAGTCATTTGAGATGTCTGAGAAGATGTAACACGTTCAGAAGATGGTTCTGATTGGGTTTGGGCCGTGCCAGGAAGACTTAGTGGTTCGACAGTTTGTGTAGACATTGCAGGTGATAAGATCTCAGGAGACTCGGTTTTGAGTCATGTCAAGTTCGTCTGACAGCTTGCAGAGGACTTAGTTACTGTAGGAGTTATATCAGACGGTGATTTTGCTATGGAAGCATAAGTTTCCTTGATCTCAGATCTTAAGACAAGCTTTTTTGCATCAGAAAAACTAATGTTTTGAGTAAAATTGATCTTATTGATCTCCATATGCTGTTTCCAGATTGGACAATCTTTGGAAAAGGATGAGTGAGTGCCTGCGCAGTTGGTACATTTCTTAAAGGTACTCTCACAATCTTCTTTTGTATGTGTCTTCTCACCACTGTGAGCACACACAACAGACAATGTGCAAGTACGAACACCATGACCAAACTTCTGGCATTTCAAACACCTCAGAGGATTTGGTATGTAGGTGTGAACAGTAATGTTACAGTATCCTGCCTTTATTGGTCTGGGAGCATTGGGAGAAGAAAATGAAAACAGGTAAGTGTTCGTCTGAATGGTTTCCTGTTTTTTTCGTGTTGTAAAACGCTTAAAGTATGTCACCCCTTGATCTTTCATTTCTGAAACAATGTCAAGTTCGGACATGTCAGTGAACAATCGATCTCGGTCTCTAACGATTCCTTTGCTGGTGTTAAGGGATCTATGAGGAGAGACTGATACCGGAATGCCGACGAATGTTTCAGTAGACATCAGGTTAGCTGCCTGTTGCCTTTTACTGCACTCAATGAGCAATGACCCTGAACGCAAAAGTTTAATGTTTTCCACATCACCGGCTATGCCTTGTATGCCTTTTTGTACAGCAAAAGGATTTAGCTTCAGTCTGGTGTTATCTTGAGTCTCCATCACTAAGAAACGTGGCGAGTAGTAAATTGATTTGGGCTGTCTATGGTCATCATCATCAGGATCAATATCAAGAGGACGTTTTGGTTTTTTTAAAGGAGTTTCGTAAGCCATGGTTAGTGTTTTTAAGATTCATCATACGAGCTCCCCACCCACCACGGAGTATCATGAAGACAATGCTAAAAACAAGTGGGTCTCCAACTTGCAGCACCAAGGATACTCGGATGATATACTCAAGCAGAAAAACTAAAATACTAATTTTTCCACCGGATTGGCCCATGAGCCACAGCCTTTTGCGCATAAGACTCTAGGCAAATTACAAAATTGATTTGGAATTTAAATATATAATCATGCAGCCAAGACATATGATAAACTTTAAACAGTTTCCGAAATTTGTGCATCACAATATAGATACACAGGGCTTGGCATGACCAGCCGATTGTTCAACCGGGCCCATTCATCCACGCGTCTAGGTGAAGTCAGGGCCGAAGTGGTGTGTTGGGCAAAGGAACACTGTTCCTGGAACCAGTGCCCTCAACCACCAGAATCCCTTCCTCCACCGACACAGGGCCGCAACCCACGGCAAACGGGTTGGTGGACCAAATATACCCCCGGGTCCACAACGGGGGGTCGAAGAGCGCTTAGCGTTACCCAGCACCGACCACGAGGAGGTGGCTCTTCACGGGTGCCCGTTCGTGTCATGAATATTCACTGACTCACATTTCTACTATCTAACGTACTGCATAGCCAAACATTTCTCAACTTAATAACCATACTTCTTAATCCAAACCTTAAAAAGGATATATTAAGTACTACGTAGGTGATACTAAGTCCTACATAGGTGATACTAAGTCCTACATAGGTGATACTAAGTCCTACGTAGGATAAACTAAGTCCTACATAGGAGACACTAAGTCCTACGTAGGAGATACTAAGTCCTACATAGGAGACACTAAGTCCTACGTAGGAGATAGTGACACACACACAAAATTTCACCCTATCCCTGCTACGCTTTCGTAGAATATAAAACTAGCATGTAAAACTAAAACATGTAAATCAAAGAAGACAATACAACATAAAACTCGGGCTATAGATCGCCAGCAACTGAAGGTAGATCACCATACTAGGGACCATAGTGACTTACGGTGCATTTGCTACCTGCATGGACCCTAGTTGGATTTACACCATCCGCCCAGACGCTGACGATTGTAGGAATATTTAGCCGAATTTAAAAGAACAAAAATACTACGCTTTAACATTTGGTAAGCTTAGATTTAACTTTGAAAGCTTTGGGATTTACGTACTCTCTCAGGAGGACAATAATTTTACAATACTGCAACCCCCTTTGAGGGTACAGCCACTAACAATATCAGTTACTAATCTAAACTACTACTAATAAAATATGTATCTATTTTCAAACGATGTATCAAAATTTATCTAGTAATTGTATTTCTTTTAAAAATTCAATGATTAAATGATAATTAACATTAAAAAGTTCCTTCACTGTTTTGACATTGAAATATGTATCCCTTGTGATGGAAAAATCTATACAGTCTCTCACCTTTTAACAGGTACTCATGAGTATATCTAGTATGGTCAATATGACATCGTCGCATAATCTGGACTGACAGCCAAAGTAGGTGTAACCGATATAGGGTTTTATTTCATGTAATTTGTTGATACCTACTTGGGTGTCCCACTTCTTCTGCATTAGATTACGGATGTAGGTTCTAATGCTAGCTTTGTAATCAGAGTATGGAATAAGAAGTGGTGTCACAGATTTGTTGACTGCTGCCTTAGCAGCAAGATCGGCCATGGTGTTCCCAGAAATGCCAACGTGGCTGGGTAACCAACAAAAGACGATGTCATATTAGCCAGTAGACAGATCATTACATAATTCAAATATTTCTATTAAAAAATGATGTTTACAAGAAAGATTCTTAAGAGCTTGATGGCAAGAAAGAGAGTCTGAAAATATTTATGTATTTTAAGGCTGTTAATATGGCGTTAGCTTCTGCTGTGAAAATAGAGCTGTTGTCAGGCAATCGAGAAGAAATTGTTCTGGATCCAATGCACAAGCAACTGCGCCACCATCCTTGGATCCATCTGTAAATAAGGATTTATATGGACTATATTTATTTCTTAATTTAGTAAATTCTTGTTTATATTGTAAGTCGCTAGTTTCTGATTTTTTTAAATGTAGTTAATGTTAGGTCGACTTGTGGCCTAACCAAATGCCAAGGAGGAGAAGAAAGAGGACGGGATGGAGATATATTTTCTAGCTCAATGCCAGTAGCAGGAAGGAAAGGTTTGACTCTTAGTCCCAGTGGGGGAACAAGAGAAGACTCTTTGTTGTACAGATCCTCATAGAGAGGATAAAAAACAGTTAAAGGCAGGGTTTGACTCATTAGAATATAGGTTTGTGACATACTGTAAGGATAATTTAATACGGCGCTGTGTAAGACATGGTTCATCTGCCTCAACGTAGAGACTGTCAACAGAAGTTCTATAGGACCCAAGACACAGTCTCGGACCGTGGTGGTAGATAGATTTGAGTTGAGTTGGGCTTTACGTCACATCAGCATTATTTCATCCATATAGTGATGAGAACAAGTCTGCATTAATAAAAGTTGTAAGTACAGAGTCAAAATGAGTTTAAATTTAAAAAGGTTATATTCATTACATTGTCATTTAAAAACAGAAAAAGTCATAGCACTAAATTAAAAGAAGTCAATTTGTTAGTCCCATTACACAGTTACAATTGATACAGATCAACTTCCCTCAGGTAGTTCACTATCAGATGAGCGCTCATGCGGGAGAACAGATCTTTCAGATTTGTTGTTTAGGAAAATGGGTTTTTCTTTGGGAAGAAAATGTTATTTTTCATGTTATTGGGTTTGTTTACGGTATTGGGTTTGTAATGTAAATTTAATGGGAAGTTTTACGTAGCAGTTTCCGGGAGTAAGTGATTTCTTCAGAGGTTGCTTGTAGTGTATAAAATTCAGCTTTTTACCTTCGTTTGGCTGTAAAATTCCGTTGGAATTATTCCTTTCCCGGACAGTTTACAGTTACGGCGTGCGCTGCCATGCCGTGCTCAGATTGCCATGGCCCGGTGTGTTTTCTGTTTGCATTCCGAGTGCGGTATGGTAGAGCTGTCGTGATTGGTCGGCTAACTCCATTGCGGGCCAAGGGGTATTAGGCTTCTTCTCCCGGGTCAAAGGTTAGCGCACGAGGTGTTTAAGGGCCTGTAACGCTCAGAGAAGTCGCTTGCTTCAGGACATCCTGACCGTACAGTAGGAAAGATAGCCCATCCCAACGTCCGAGACGGGTGAATTTTGTGGAGGACGGGTTAAAAAAAAATCTGGTCCGTCCTCATGTCGGGTCAGTTTTAGCAAACCAATGACATAATCATTATTATATTATAACCTTTTTGAATATTTACTGCCAAAGGATACTAGAATAATCAAACAGATAAAATTATCGCAAACGAAATCGATGAGATATGTTTGCTATAAGAACAGAGTTCTCTCCCTTAGCTTCTTGAAACGAGTTTAGTAAGGAAGTGTGTGAGTGGCCGGTTGTCACAGAATCAACGAATAGGAAAACGTGTTTCTTGTTTCCCCCAATTTCAAACCAAAATGGCGCGACCCTCATCGGTCGGTCTGCTGCTATGACTGAGCGAATTTACTCTTATTTTAGTCAATGTTGAATGTGCAACTGGCAAGGATGCAGATTCAGACTATGACTCTGACTTTTCAGATCTTGATGGAGATGTTGATGACTTGTCTGAAGACTAGTTCTGTCATGTTGTAACCAGATGATTCCACTAGGAGAGATTTAACAGTCCAAGCTCTGTGTGTGCATATTAAATTATAGCTTAAAATAAAACAAACCAGATTTAAGTCTTGAAATGGTGTTTTATTTATATTTGGAGGACAGGCTAGATTTTGGCAGGATTGGTAAAAACTTTGACCAGCCAGTCCTGTGGACAGGCTAGATTTTCTACATCTTTCCTACACTGCAGTAAGTCGGGAGGTCTTCCTCCTTTCCTTAGGTTTTGTGTAGCATTGTTTTGCATGTAGAGTAGGAGAATATTTAGTGGGTTGGGGGAAACGATAGGATTAGAGTAGGCTTTGTATGTAGGAATTAATTAGTTAGGACTTTCTTTTTCTTTGGGTTTCATAGACTGCTAGTTGTGAGTGTGTGTGAGGTTGGCTTCTGTTTATTTTGTTGAGTTTGGCTTAGTTTATTTTTATTAATTAATAAACTGTATTTATTTGGTGAAATCTGAACTTTGTTCTTATTTTGTGAAGAATCTTTAACAATGACTTGAACTACCATAGAACCTGAAACAAGGTCCATGAAAGGTTCCGTTCTCACGGCACAAGATCAACATCTAAACAAAATACACAATGCAAAGTCCACAAGGGAGAACGTTAAATAACAACATCGAACCTTGATATATGAACCTTACTGTCACTGGGCGACCTCCCTCAGCGGAAGCGCCTATTACAGATTTTGTGCCGTGACCCGGATAGTTTTGTCATTTTCTTAGTGAAAACTAACTGATTCTTGTCAGAATAAGTAACATTGTTTCCGTAAGAAAAAGAAAAATCCCAAAACAAGTAAAGTATTACATTTTGTAGAATCAAGGTCTGTTTCATCATACAGGTATATCCTGTTGAAACTGATTAGAGGTCATAAAGTACATTCATAGAGTACGTTTAGAAGCAGAATTGTAAAGTTCTTGGTTTTGCAGCATCTATAGTCAAACAAAATGGCATCAGGAGAGACACGTGATTTATATTCCATGGAACATAATCAGGTTGAGTCCCCTCCAGATAATCTGGACCATGCTCTTATTGACTTTTCATATTTAGGTCAAGTGGGATTTGCAACCTCTACACCTAATGTTTCTCGTCCAGTTGAAAACATTGGTTCATCTCATGCACTCCCAAGTGTTAGTACACAAGTGGTAATAGTGAGATAATGGGTATTTCATCATCTGTGAATGAAGCAATGCTGAATTTTCAGCAAGGGTCTGCTTATGGTAGAAGTGATAGACAGGATAAACGTTCTGTACATTTTGGTGTTCCATTTGCAGATAGACACTTTGACAGGCAGAATGAATTCTGTAGATCAGAGGGCACCTTCAGCAGCAGGGTTGGTTCCTGGTCCGACGTCCAATACTTCTTTGATAGATTCTAACTGGACAGGTGATAGGGTTTATCATAGTGATTGTGATAGCTCATTTGTGCAACCATTCGTGACAAAAACCAAATCATCGTGAAGTTAGACCGGATACTTTTGATGGTAAAAGTTGTGAATGGCCGGATTTTCTTGTTCATTTTGAACAAGTTGCTGCATGGAATGGGTGGTCTAGTGGAGAAAAAGCACTATGCTGTTCTCCAACTATAAAGAAGAGTCTTCAACAACTAGTTTAACCTTGATTGCCTTTATTTGTACCAAAAGTACGATCATGAAGACTATGCATGATGAGGTCAATCACGTGTGACGTGGTAAAAGCTGTAAAATAACAAAGGAACTATAAGTGTGATATTCCTGTACATTGGATGAGTGTAATCACACCTTTAGCTAAATTATACTTAATTGTGTAAACAACACCAATACCAGACATTGAGCCTAATTTACTGGTTCAAATAAAATATTTTTGCGATATCAAAATGCCATGACAGTTCTTAGTTGTTTCATAAAATATATAATACGAATGTCAAGCCCACTTGTATAGAGCCTCACGAAAGTACAGAGATGTACGTTTTTACTGCGTAGCATTACCCTACCTATGTAGAGCCTCACAAATTACGGAGATGCATGTTTCTTCTAAATGCATAAAATACAGAAGATACCATGGAATAATTATCACAAGAACACCAGGAATGAATCCTATAACACTGTAAATCAACTTACGTCTTGGTGCGAGGCTTAATGCAAAGAAAACACTTCCAAACTTCAGAACGACACTTGTCGCTTGAGCGCATGGTACAACATGGCTGGCAAAAGGGAGGTAATCAACCTCAAACTAAGGGAAGCAACTCTAGTGAAGCTTACATCAAACCTCAGATGTCAGTGCGTGACATCACACTCCCCGTCTGATATTTAATGAAATATCACTACCGACTATTCTAACATAACCAATTAACACTAATATAACACATAGTTATCTAAAATTCACTGGTATCAGATCTGAACTACTACATTAAACAATGTCAAAAAGTCACTCAGAAATTAGCAAAACTACTTCCGCCACTGGTCTTGTGACCACAACAAACTTATTGTCTTTGAACACTTTAACTCCAATCTTCCGAACAATGTCATCATCACTTGGGTTCACGTTTACAACACGTCCCATTGGCCACTCATTTCTGTGTGTCGATTTGTCCCTGAGCAAAACAATGTCATTGACCTTCAAGTTTTGTTTCACATCAGTCCACTTCCTGCTGAATTGTAGCAACTGAAGATATTCTCTCTTCCAACGTTCCCAGAACATATCAGCCAACTGCTGGACACATGCCCATTGGTGTTTATACATGATTGGCAGAGTGAATTCACCTGATGGGATAGCTACAGAATCAGATTTCTGTGTCAGAATCATTGATGGAGATAACACTGTTGCACAATCCGGATCCGATGAAACAGGGGTGATGGGTCTTGAATTCACAATAGCACATGTTTCTGCCATAAATGTTACAAGCACTTCATGTGTAAGATGATTTGGGTTCTGGGCGAGAAGAGAGTCCAAAATCCTCCTCACAACACCGATCATTCTCTCCCACACTCCACCCATGTGAGAAGAGTGTGGGGCGTTGAAGATCCACTGACATCCTGACTTGTACAAGTATCGCTGGACTGGGCCTTCTTCCACCTTAATAGTATCAATCTTGAGATCATCTGTGGCTCCGACAAAATTAGTGCCTCTATCGGAGCGGAATAATGTCACTTTACCTCTGATGGATTGGAACCTTTTGAGAGCGTTGATAAAGGATGAGCTGCTTAGATCCTCTATTACTTCAATGTGTATTGCCCTGATGGTTAAGCAAGTAAACAGAACTGCCCAACCCTTACTATTGACGCTGCCTCCTCTGGTTCTTCTTGTCACAACTTGCCATGGACCGAAGGTGTCAACACCTACTGATGAAAATGGAACTCCTGGTGTGAGCCGATCTGATGGCAGGTCTGCCATTTTCTGATGTTCCAGAGGTCTACGCAGCTTTCGACACAGAACACACTTGTGTAAAAGAGACGAAATCAGTCTTTTGGCGCCAACAATCCAGAATCCACCATTTCTGATTGCGCCCTCTGTGAGATGCCTTCCTTGATGTTGGACATGTTCATGAAAGTGTTTAGCAAGCAACTGTGCTATGTGACTGCCACCAGGTATGATGATAGGATGCTTTTCCTCTGATGAGAGATTAGACCTAGAGAGTCGTCCACCTACTCTGAGTAGGCTATGTTGATCAAGGAATGGACATAAGTCGCGGATGGGGCTTTGTCTTTGAACAGGTTTACCATTGTCAAGACAAGAGATTTCAGCACCATACACTTCTCGTTGAAGTTCTAGGAGAATAAATCTCTGTGAAGATAGAAAGTTCTGAACAGAGTCTTGTTGCCGAGAGACGACCTTCCCTTTTTTCCTTTGAACGAGATCCTTAAGTAATGCGATGGCATTTACTAGTCTGGTCCATGAAGAGAATTTCTCGAAATGAAGTGTGAAGTGAGTGAGTTATTATTTAACGTCACATCGGCAATATTTCAGCCATATCGTGACGAGAACATTTGACATTGTAATAGAATATATATAGTTATTATAAAAACCTGCCGACGAAGGACAGTAAAAATACTAGATAATCACAGATATCAATATAAAACTAGCGAACAAAGCTAAAATATTCCAATTAAAGAAGACAATACAATCTAAAAATGGGATATAGATCGCTAACAACTGAAGGTAGATCACCATACTAGGGACCATGGGGACTTACAGTACATTTGCTTCCTGCATGGGCCCTAGCTGGATTTATATCATCCCCCTCAGCCGTTAGCAATTAACACATATCTGGCCATACATTAAAATTACAAATATTCTACGATTAAAAAACGGAAAGTTGAAATTGACTTTGAATGTTTTGGGACTTACGTACCCTCTCAGGAGGACAATAATTTTACAGTACTTTAACCCCCCCCTCGAGGATACAGCCACTAACAATCTATGTTACTAATTCAAACTTCCAATCATAAAATATTTAGCTATTTACAAATCTGTTAACAAATCTAATTCTTTTAAAAGGCAATAACTAAATGAGAACTAACATTATTAAAAAGATCCTTCAGTGTTTTGACATTAAAATACTTATCCCTTGTGATGGAATATTCAATGCAGTCAAGCA